CTGAATCTTCAATGAACAGCGTCTCTTATATATGTATGCAAGGTTAAGACACAAGATATTTGAAATATTATTAAGCCTTAAGTAATTGAGTTATTACTGTACACTTTTAAATTTGACATCAGATCAAACACATTCGCTTTATGTTAATAAAAAAGCTATATCGTTCTAGACTTATTTGGCCTTTTCTTCTTAATGATTCTGACTTATCCACTCTTTCCTAAGTTTTATTTATCGAGTTAGTCAGAATCTGCGAATACACGCAGTTTTTTTTCTCCGTTCGGGAATTTAAAGATACAAAGGCATCAGAATGGGAATGAAAGAAGGATGTGGAGTAACAGGGGAAAAAGTCCAAGACGAAGTAATTTATAACGCGCGACACCCACACGGTTTTCACGGTGAGGCCATGTACGGACGCGTGACGTCAACATCACTTTTGCATTGGCCGGCGTGTGCGTGCGTGCATGCGTGCGTGCGTGCGTACATGTAGGCGCTGGGTACACGGCATAGAAGGTAAAGTCCGTGGGAGAACACTAAAGAGGCGGCGTAATCGACGCGGCCGATCGATCGATCGGCAATCACACCTTGAATTCGATCTATGTGCGATGACTGTTCCAGTCGCAATTTTGCCGGCGATTTTTTCGAAATTACGAACGAGAGGCCGATTGTAATTGAACAGAACAATCCAAAAATAGAGACGTCTCGTAATTTGCTAGTTTGACTTCAAATTCACGGAGTTGACTTTTCGAATATCAATAAAACAATCAAGTCTATCGTTTAAATTGCGATTACAAATGTTACGAATATTATAAATTGTCTTTTAAGATTCATCTCTTAAGGCGATGCTGGAGAGGCAGCCGAACTTAATCGATGTCGATAAAATAAATTTTTAATTTCAATTAAAATATTACATACATCAAGAAAATATTTACATATACATTAAATAAGCCATTAAGTAAAACGTTACGTATTTTTGTTCTGCTATATCTTATATATCGCTTGAATATGAAGGTATACACTCAAATCGTATCTTTATGAAAAATATGATTTTCCTGAAGTATCTAAAAATTTAGTTAGATATAGATCTGAAAATAATTTTGTTATTAAGATAATTATATAGCAAATTCAAGCATGATGAGCACTCCCTATCGTGAAAGTCGCATAAGACAAAATCATATGTCATGGTATTCGTAAATGGGATACGATTTGTATTCGAGATCGTATATGTGAACAGTATATGAAAGACATACGGATTCATCTCCGATCGTTTATGAAGTATATGCGAATCTTACACGAATCGTATACGAATCGTATATAAATCGTATACGATCGGATATGATTCGTTTGTCTTTCATATATACGAATTTGAACCCTTCATATACGGTTCTTATACCAAATTTACGGTAGGGCTGCTACAAAAAGTTTTTTACCAATCAAGCTTGAGTGTCCTACATAATTATTTTAATAGTTGGACCAAATTCTTTTCAGATATGTATCTAGCTCTAATTTTTACATAGCAAAGCGTATTTTCCGTTTTGAAGTGGAATGGAAAAAAGAGTGAAACTTGAGCCAACCTTGAAAGGAACAATTGTTAATCTTTAAGAGTAAGATATTTTACTCTTCAGAATGAGATTCACTCTAAAATTTTTAGAGAGAAGATTCTACGAAAAACAATTTGTTTATTGTATTTTGAATTAATCGTAACTGGTTCGTTGACGTCATTTATCGCAGTCTATTTTGCAGTCTTCATTAAATGAAAGACTAATAAAGCCTCAATTCATACTTTTTACAGCTGAAGAGAGGGAGAGAGAGAGAGAGAGGATACGCGCTTTGCTTCCTTTCTATGCGGATAAAGCATTCCGCAATCGCGTGCACTCCCTTAAGCGGTCTGTAAAGACAAACGTGCAGGCGAATGCGCATCGTTGACACCATTAACTGTCAACAGTGACTACCTCGTAATGGCATTTCCATTGGTAACCCAGCTGAGCAGAAGTCACAGTAATGCTCCTCCTACAGGATTGGTTGTTTAAACACCGGATCCTGTATAAAAGAATGTCCCGCACGAGAAACGCACGATACGTTTGAATAGAATAAAATTTTTCTATTCAAACGACGAAACACAACCGGAATTCGCTATACTCCTTTGTTAAACCGATTTATCATTTTTCATCTCTTCTATAAAATTGAACGAAGACGTTATGTCCATTTCTGTAAACATAGATTAACTTAATAATCATTGTTTAATTCATGTTTTATCTTTTTTTTATTTCGAGGAAAAGGTAAAGTGTAAATTATTATTAAAATTAAAATGTTAATTAATAGACCAATCAATTATTAGAAGTGGACATTACATAATTATCCGAATTCGTTTAAGGGACCTTTTTAGCTGTATTTTAAATAGTCGATATGCGTCGGCCCAATATTAATTTGCGAGTTGTAAACATATCATTGTTATATTTCCAACCATTTTTAATTAACGAGAATGTTCTGAGAGCGATATCGCGATAAAGGAATTATTTGTCTTGTGACAAAGAGGAATTACTTGTCGAAATCAATATAGCCGTCTTTGCATTGAAAAAAATCTTTTAATGAAAATAATGACATTTTGATAATATCAAACAGAATTATAAAATCCATCAAAATGCTATTTCTTGTGTTTTGTTATATGTTTTGTTAATTTACATATCTCTCACTTTAACTTATACTTGTCTAATCTTAATTAAAGTTAATATGTATGATATGTATATACTGGGAGAAATTATATAAATTTTTCTCTTTCGTAGAATTTTAACAAAATTATTCGTGACTAGACTCTGTTATAGAGTTTCTAAGATTAACAAAATTTTCTCTATAAGGAAGAAGAAATAAATCCCGATTAAAAGCCGTGGTTAGTGCACGGCACGTGCGTCGTTAATATATGAATCGGCGACACGCTTGCGGGTATCACCTTGTACGTTCACGCCTTGGTCGGCGTGCGTATATCGCAAGTGAGTAGGTAGAGTTATTAATTATGCATTCTAAGGCACGCCGGAGCTCCGGGGATCGTAACGATGTTGCGCACCGTTGATGTAATGCACCGATCTCAGTTGGGAGAGGTCGGCCGGTTGCGTACTCAGAGGATATGTTCCACACGGCCCATTTTTTTCCCCCCCTACCTCTGTCCACGAACGCGTTCTTCGCGAAGCCGGGACGATTGGCGAGGAAGTATACCGCACTACCGTGTCCCTGTCTTGTCAATCGACGCGTTCATTCATGTTAAAAGTTCATATTTCTTCTCTCTCTCTCTCAAGTCTCTAATAAAAGACATATTGCTCATTTGTTTCAACAACGACATTACTCAAAAAATGGTTCTCTAGAAAATTAATTTAATTATTTTAAATTATTAAAATTTTATTAAATTAATTAAATATATGAAATTATTAAAATTTTATAATATATATTGTAGAAATACAATTTTGATTTTAATATTTTTTTAAATAATTGATTTCATAAAAATAAAGATAAGTTCTTTCAAAAATCTATTTCTATTTCTCGTTATATTTTTTTTCTACAAGTAATTAAAAAATGATAATTTTTTTAATTACGTTGTCATTATTGCAAATAAGTATTATATTTACGTTTAAGTTATATTATATTATATAGTTTGAAAAGAATCTGTATAAACACATTGAATCATTATCGTGAAACTAAATTCGTTTTAAAAAGATTACTTTAACGAAGAATAGTTCAAAATAGGTATATTATTATATAGAGTGCAAAAATTATTTGCGCAATAAGCTTCGAAAATTTTCAAACTGTATCAAGAGAAATTTTTTAACGCGTTGTACAACGTTTGATTGTAACGATTATTCAAAAAAATAATTCTGCTAATATATAAAATTTTTCATGTAATGTATTTATAACATGTAAACGAAATTCGCGATTTTTAATGAGAAATACTATACTAATGGTTGGTACTTTTAGGACATAATCGTAATAGCTACAGATAGCGAAACTTTGGAACTATATATTACTTATAAATGTATTCTTATAAATCTGTATGGTTTTATTATATCTTGTTTGTTTTACACAAATTGAGTTTGTATTTTGTGATTTTAAAAGCAATTTATATAAAAATTAAAAGATGTTTTATTTTTTTCTATTCGTCATTTGGCTCTATCATTTTTGTATCTAGTGGTCTCAAAAAATTCTATAATAAATAATTTAATTAATAGAATTTTATTCTTTTATATTTTGAATAATTTATTCTTTTACATCTACTATAATAGCCTTTGAATTTTTATAGTTTAATTCTATTTTCCTATTCAGAGCAATCTCACACTTAAAAATAATTAGGCTAGATACGTTTTTAAAAAGTTTGATGAAAGGGTTAACGAGTTCCGATGCAGTTTGCATGCGCGCGCATGTCGTTGCGTGAGATCCGGAGTCAAGATTAAAAGTTGTAATTGGAAACCCATGACTGGGAGATTACCAGAAACATTTTAGAGGAAACGATCTTTTCCCTTCGGGAGTCTCGCGGCAGATTACGAAACTAAAGACGTTTCCGACATAAAATATAGATGTACAACCCGCGAAATTCGCGACAGTGAAAGATCACGTAAATATTTGAAAAAAAAAAATAATAATAATAAATATATATAAGTACAAATAATTCGCCTCATGCCAACAACGCGTTAAGAGAAACGGACGGTGCGTTGGCCCGCGGACGCGGGCCTGAATTATCCAACTCCGCGACACGATGGTATGGCGCTTATCTCCCTCTCCCTCTCTCCTTCTGCCTCTCTCGCTCTCGCTCGGTGCTCTAGCGCGTATGCAGAGGCCGTATATGGTAGTGGGCGGTAGACGCATGGCGAGCGGCGACGTTCCTCTCGCAAACGCAACGCACGAAAGCGCGGCGCGCATGCGCCCGCGCGAGCCCGCACCTCGGCTCAACTCGGTCGCGCTCGGCTCAACTCGGCACGGGCGCGCATGCACGGCCGGTGCAATCAGTAGAGCCGAGAATTCCAAAGCGCGTGTACTTACTCTTGAATTCCCGCGACTCGCATTCCGATTTTACCCTTCTCACGCAAGCGAGCGAGGGAGAGAGACATTGTCTCTATGTATGTCTAATCTTTTCTCTCTCTCTCTCTCTCCCTTTGCTGTTCACCCGATTCTCTCCATTTCTTTATTCTTTCTCTCCAAAACTTCGTCGATCGTTCTATTTATCTACAACGCTTCTCTCTCGCTCTCTCCTCTTCCTACGTTCTTCCTCCCTCTCTCCGTCTGCATTTCCCTCCCTCCCTCTCTCTCCCTTCCTACCGTCGCTCCCACGTCGCTTCTCGCGATCTACCGCGGCATGCGTTTTACCAGTGGGATCGTTCCTGAAAGCGCAATAGTCTTTAGCGCACGTCAACTGTGACGACGTGATCAGTGTGTTTCCTCGAGAAAGAAAGATCAGCTGCCAAGCGAAGCGGGATAAAAGAAAAAAAGGGAGAGAATTATCTCCGAAGAGGAGCTGATAGGAAAAAGTATCGAAGAAATCGGGCGCTGATACGAGAAGAGAAGCGTGATTACGTCGCTGAGGAAAGAAAAAATAAGAGGAAAAGAAGAGAAAAGGGGGAAAGGAAAAGAACAAACGCGACAGGCGAGGCGACTTTACGACTCTCTCGGAGGAGTGTCGCTCGCTCTCCGGCTCCCTCCCCTCTCCTTCCCCCTCTCTCGCGTCCTCCCTCGCGATCCCTCCACGCTAGCGGGAGTCTTGCCTCTCCTCTTTTCCCTCCCCTCCCGTTCGTCTCTCTCCCACTCGCCGCGTCCCTGTCGTCCCCCCCCCTCCTCTCTTCTTCGTCTTCGCAACGTCGTCGCTGGCCGCCGCCGCCTTCGCTCCGGCTCCTTTTCTTTGACTGCGTCAGTACGTCTCCGCTTGTCCGCGTGCGTTTGGTGCTCTACCGTGACCGGAGAGAGAACAGCTCCGCCGTTCTCCGTCCGTCCCGACACCGCGCCGCCGCTGCCGCCGTCGCCGTCGCCGCTCACTCGCCGCCTCCCCTTTGAGTGTTGCATTAAGCGTGCCCGCGCGCGCCCAACACGCGCCAACATTCGCCATTGATAGCAGCCGAGTAGAATTTGCGATGTGTGATAATACTAACACGACGACGCAGAGTATAGCGGACTACCTGTCACAGTTGCTGAAGGACCGGAAGCAGCTAGCCGCCTTCCCAAATGTCTTCATTCACGTGGAACGTCTGCTGGATGAGGGTGAGCGATGATCTTTCTTCTCTGCTCCGGTTTTTTTTTTTTTTTCTTCTTCTCATCTCACTCCCCGCTGCTCTTTATTATCTTTCTGCTCCGTCTCTGGTGTCGCGTTGTGTCGTGTGTGAGAAATCCAGGGTGAGAAAACGGAAAAGGTCGAACGGTTATTAGGTTTTCCGGGAAGTCCAGAAATAAATGTGCGTAGCGAAAAGTGTAGGACGCGTCCGAAATTTGAACGGTCATGCGTAACGCGAGGGTATTTCGCGAACTGCGCCATTTTGCGCACTTGTGCGCCTCCGAATACGCTCGGCGGTGAATTTTTCATCGTGACGTAACAGAGAGATCGCGTGTCTTTTTTTCTTTTTTTTTCTTTTGATAATCACACACACACACACACAAGCCGCAGAAGCGCGTCCCGCATTCGTCCATCTGGACTACCGACCTCACACGCCACGCTTCGTTTTCCAATTTGTCGTCGTTCTGAAATGTCTCGTCGATCGAGCCGATTGGCCCATAAATGCTATCAGCAAATTCCTGCTGTGAATAAGGCGTATACAGGGTGCTCCGGAAAAACCTAACTTCGAAGCAAGCCGTAACTTTTTTTTTTTCTCTCTTAGTTCAAATGCCTATATTCATAATCAGGCCTGATACTTAAGGCTTCCTCGAGTTTTACCTTCAGACGCTTCCGACGAATTATTTTACTTGGCTGTTGAGCGTTTAAAGGTAAATTTAAGGAAGCCTCAAGTATGAGGTCTGACTATGAACGCCTAATCCCGGCATGAGGATTTTAATCTGTTCTCCGTGCATCTCTCTACGAAGATCTTTGAGCACCGTTACGTTTTCTGGATGCGATCAACGAAAAAAAAAAAAAATCAAAACCGGAGCCGGTTCCTCACCGATAAGAATACTACACGCGTCTTCGTTGTGACGTATACCGAGTGATCGACCTCATTTCCGATTCGCGGTACATGTATTGCAAAAACGTTAGAGATTTTCCAATCAGAATCTGTAGGTCAATTATGTGGTTTTTTCCCTAAACGGAAACGTGAAAAGTGAAAATTTCATGTATACGTATGTATATGTAGGATATGTGACTTACAAACTTTCTTGCTTTTCACCTTAAAAATTTTATTCCGAACAATATTTTTAAATGAAAAAGTAAACAAGTTTTTGTAAATCATATATCAAACGAAACATTACCCTCATTTGTCAGTGTGTAATACACGTGTACAAAAAATTTTTACTTTTCACGTTTCCGTTCTAGAGAAAAAAATCACACGATTGACTTCCTGTACTCTCGAGTTGCATTTTGCATGCATGGGAGGTTTTACTGAAATCTAAAAATTCAGCTACATACAGATCTGAATAACTTTATTGAATTATTAAAATAATTATGTCGGACATTCAGACTTGGGGGGCAGAATGTAATTAAAACTTAATTACATTCTGAGAATTAAAACATTTTATCTCATCATGTTTGAGAGAATTTCTACGTAATTATACTTTCATGGTTTAACAAAATTATTTTCAGACTTACATCTCGCTAAATTTTTAGATAGTTCAGCAAAATCGTTCTTTCCTTGTAACAGTTTACTAAAATCACGCGAGAAAGGACTTCACATTTCCTATTTCTTTCTCTTTCTGTTCTATCATTCTCTCTCTCTCTCTCTCTCTCAGGAAACATGGGGAACCAATCAATTGGCTTGTCTCTGATTAGAGAACTTAAAGACAATATGATGTCCTCCTTGTTTGTTTTTTCTCGCCGCGTTGTTGCACCACTCCAGCTCGAGATCCGATACTCTGAAAAAATCCCCGCGAACGCAGGGACTACGAGTGTAGAACACCCTATGCACGGGTGTTGGGTACCCCCCGCGTGTGCCTTATCCGCTCCTTTCGCTATCGCGACGCGCGGCGCGTGTGTGTCACGTGGCCGGCGTGGCGACGTCATGTTGTTCGAGAATTACCACGGGCCTCATTGGTTTCATTATCTGATTTCTACCCGTACAACACGGATCTCTAACAGAGACGTCCTAAAAACGTCCAGAGGATGTTCTGTGTCCTGAAACCGTGATCGAATTAGAGATTGAAATTGGACTGGGAATTAATAATGTTATTTAATTTTATTTAATCTTGGTTCAACTAACCCTTCATCTTCTAGTTTTAATAATTAGAAAATCATGAATAAGATTAAAGTTAATCTACGTTAGTAGAGATAAATGTAAAAGAGTACAAATTAATCTCGTGTCTTTGATTATTTAAATTCTCATCTAATTTCAATGTCTAATCAAAGAACTTTATTTTTTCGACCGAACGTATCCACCCAACACACTTCAAGGAACATCCTAAGCTGCGATCAAGATTATGTAACTTTTTCATTAGGGCGAGAACGTGAAAATGTTTATGCATATGTGTATACATATACGTGTATGTGTGTGTGCGTGTGTGAAAATTTTTTGCACTATGTGTATATGTATTTACATTCGTACACACATATAAAAAACGTTTTCACGTTTCTGCCTTAGGGAAAAAGGTTACGTAACTCATACCGTGATCACGATGCTGATTTTCTTGCGCCTTTCGTCTTTCCCTTGTTCCCCTCCTTTGCCGTTCAATTACGCACCTGTTGCATTTTAAACGCAACAGGTACATGAAGTAAAACAGCGCCGCTGCGAAAAGGATAGTCATATATAGTATAACTTTTCCATAGGTTGGAAACGAAGTGACCGCATTTTATTTTTTACCATTGAAGTTAAGGAGAAATTTTTTTTATTATTTTCCCTCTTAGGGAGTTAAAAATGATGCAATCGGTACTTCGATAATATGTAATAATGTATTGTATTTTTATTAACACATACATACACGGGATAGATGCTAATTATATTATCTTAAACCTTAAACCACCACTATACAAAAAAGTTGATGCCATACTGATGCCTGTTTCTATTAATGAAGATCAACTTTAATCTCGGTTCAACTTATTCTTCAACTTTTTTTAATTTTAAGAACTAGAAAAAATAAAAAGTAAGTTAAAGTTAATCTATGTTGCGGTAAAAATGAACTCAAATCGTACATATTCGAGAGACAAAACGAGCGATTCGATATCAGAGTGAAAAAACGTATATTTCTTCTGTACTCCAATTTTTCAGTTGACAGTAGAAAAAAATATGACATGAAATAAGAATACTTAGGCAAACAAAATACCTCACCGGCGTCGTGTAAATTTGCAAACTGTTGCACTTGGAGTGATTTTTGCGGATTCAATATCGAAAAGACGATGAGCTGCGTGGCAGTTTAATCGAGCGTGAAATGTATAGAATAAATAATATAAATGGAGTATTCCACGAAAGGTCGGGTCTTTATTTTTAACGATCCAACGCTACTTTTTTTGAGATTATCGCGAGTACCACCAGTAATTCGATAGCCTATATTACGTTATGCGTTATCACGTGGGGAAACTCACGGTATTATTGCAATAGGCTGACATCTGATATTTATGATAACAATATGAATGCGATGCACTGTCGAAGATATTTTTCTATTCATTTTATATCATACGTTCGTATCAATGTCATGAATAATGTGCAAATAACTTGCGATAAATATCAAGGCTCTATCGTCGTCAGAAATACACTATTTGACAACCGCGAATGTACTAAAGTTTTCTGTTATACACATGTATTTTCTTGTAAGTTGATTTTCAACTCATTCTTATTAAGAATGTTCTTTTAATTAGAAATTAAATTATAGGAATTAAATTTTCTGTTATGTATACATGCACATATATATTTTTTTATAAGCAGATTTTTAGTTTTTGTTGTTGAGAACATTCTTAAAAATATCTTTTTAAATAGTTTCAAGAATATTTTCAACAATAAAAAGCTAAGATCTATATTTGTAAGAAAATAGACGTATACATATAATAACAAAATATCAGAAATATCTAATAAAAAAATTAAAATCTAATTAAAAGAGAGAGAGAGAGAGAATATTCTTACGATTAGAGATTTTAACTTATTATTAAGAATAGTTTTTAGAATCGAAAATCTATACTTGTAAGAAAATATATATAATATTATAATAGAAAATTAGAAAACTATAACCACATATATGTTCGATTATTAAATGCTTCTACAGCGACAAACAGATATTTACAAACAGCATGCCATTAGTACGAATGTATTATAATAATGTATCGTTAACCTATCGGCTTTTTTTTTCATAAATTTGTATACTGAACGCATTTTTTTCTCTTCCGGCTATTTTCATTTTTTCGAACGCAATCACGATTTTAACTCGCTTCTCATCCCACTTCTCTACAACATTCTTTTCTATTTCCTTGCGAAAGTTCTCCAGGTTCCCTGTAATCTGGTGGCGGTTCTCGGTTGCGAATTGTCCGCGCGCATCTGTGTTTGGAATTGATTTCAATCGACGAAACGACACGGCAAGTGAAAGGAACGTATACGAGCGCGCGGTAAATATTTATTTATACGCTCACGTTGTACCGCTTAGCGGCAGCACTTGTCGGTCGTGTTGTGTGTTGTTTTTGCTCATCGTTTTCCACGATAATGACGGTGACGGTGATGCTGCCGGCAGCAACAAACATCGGTCGAAATCGGAGATTAGCGCGCAGCGCGCGCGCGCGCGCGCGCGATCACGGCGGATCCACGTAGGCAGAAAAGACGCTGACCTCGCTGTGGCGCTGTGAAACCGCTTCGTCGGGCATTCTCGATATACTCCTCTCCTTCGGTCCCCTCGCTCCCACCCTCTCAGCTCGATATACACACCGTTCACCAGATCTTTGATCCGCTCTCGCGGAATAAGCCCGGCACGCCGTATAAACGCTCGAATCGCTCGATCCGCTAAGAACTCCCGGGGTTCGCGTGTGTCTCCGAGATCCTTTTTTCCCCCTCCTTTCCTCCTTCTCTTTTAACCGCACGTGTGTCGTGCGCGCGTGCACACCTGTCCTAACGAGACGGTGCCGCGCTTCCGCGGGCGAACACCGGCGG